ACTGTGTGTGTCTGGCCCCGTGGCTCACGCTGACCTGAGTTGCTCTTGCTCCCGGTCACTGTGTGTGTCTGGCCCCGTGGCTCATGCTGACCTGAGTTGCTCTTGCTCCCGGTCACTCTGTGTGTCTGGCCCCGTGGCTCAGGCTGACCTGAGTGCCTCTTGCTCCTGGTCACTGTGTGTGTGTCTGGCCCCGTGGCTCACGCTGACCTGAGTTGCTCTTGCTCCCGGTCACTGTGTGTGTCTGGCCCCGTGGCTCATGCTGACCTGAGTTGCTCTTGCTCCTGGTCACTGTGTGTGTCTGTCCCCGTGGCTCAGTCTGACCTGAGTTTCTCTTGCTCCCTGTCACTGTGTGTCTGGCCCCGTGGCTCAGGCTGACCTGAGTTGCTCTTGCTCCTGGTCACTGTGTGTGTCTGGCCCCGTGGCTCACGCTGACCTGAGTTGCTCTTGCTCCCGGTCACTGTGTGTGTCTGGCCCCGTGGCTCATGCTGACCTGAGTTGCTCTTGCTCCTGGTCACTCTGTGTGTCTGGCCCCGTGGCTCAGGCTGACCTGAGTTACTCTTGCTCCTGGTCACTGTGTGTGTCTGGCCCCGTGGCTCAGGCTGACCTGAGTTGCTCTTGCTTCTGGTCACTGTGTATGTGTCCGGCCCCGTGGCTCAGGCTGACCTGAGTTACTCTTGCTCCTGGTCACTCTGTGTGTGTCCGGCCCCGTGGCTCAGGCTGTCCTGCGTTCCTTTTACTCCTGGTCACTGTGTGTGTGTCCAGCCCCCGTGGCTCACGCTGACCTGAGTTGCTCTTGCTCCCGGTCACTGTGTGTGTCTGGCCCCGTGGCTCATGCTGACCTGAGTTGCTCTTGCTCCTGGTCACTCTGTGTGTCTGGCCCCGTGGCTCAGGCTGACCTGAGTGCCTCTTGCTCCTGGTCACTGTGTGTGTGTCTGGCCCCGTGGCTCACGCTGACCTGAGTTGCTCTTGCTCCCGGTCACTGTGTGTGTCTGGCCCCGTGGCTCATGCTGACCTGAGTTGCTCTTGCTCCCGGTCACTGTGTGTGTCTGGCCCCGTGGCTCACGCTGACCTGAGTTGCTCTTGCTCCCGGTCACTGTGTGTGTCTGGCCCCGTGGCTCATGCTGACCTGAGTTGCTCTTGCTCCCGGTCACTCTGTGTGTCTGGCCCCGTGGCTCACACTGACGTGAGTTGCTCTTGCTTCTGGTCACTGTGTGTGTGTCTGGCCCCATGGCTCAGGCTTACCTTAGTTGCTCTTGCTCCTGGTCACTCTGTGTGTGTGTCTGGCCCCGTGGCTCACGCTGACCTGAGTTGCTCTTGCTCCTGGTCACTGTGTGTGTGTCTGGCCCCGTGGCTCAGGCTGACCTGAGTTACTCTTGCTCCTGGTCACTCTGTGTGTGTGTCTGGTCCCGTGGCTCAGGCTGACCTGAGTTACTCTTGCTCCTGGTCACTCTGCGTGTGTGTCTGGTCCCGTGGCTCAGGCTGACCTGAGTGCCTCTTGCTCCCGGTCACTGTGTGTGTGTCTGGCCCCGTGGCTCACGCTGACCTGAGTTGCTCTTGCTCCCGGTCACTGTGTGTGTCTGGCCCCGTGGCTCATGCTGACCTGAGTTGCTCTTGCTCCCGGTCACTGTGTGTGTCTGGCCCCGTGGCTCACGCTGACCTGAGTTGCTCTTGCTCCCGGTCACTGTGTGTGTCTGGCCCCGTGGCTCATGCTGACCTGAGTTGCTCTTGCTCCCGGTCACTGTGTGTGTCTGGCCCCGTGGCTCACGCTGACCTGAGTTGCTCTTGCTCCCGGTCACTGTGTGTGTCTGGCCCCGTGGCTCATGCTGACCTGAGTTGCTCTTGCTCCCGGTCACTCTGTGTGTCTGGCCCCGTGGCTCAGGCTGACCTGAGTGCCTCTTGCTCCTGGTCACTGTGTGTGTGTCTGGCCCCGTGGCTCACGCTGACCTGAGTTGCTCTTGCTCCCGGTCACTGTGTGTGTCTGGCCCCGTGGCTCATGCTGACCTGAGTTGCTCTTGCTCCTGGTCACTGTGTGTGTCTGTCCCCGTGGCTCAGGCTGACCTGAGTTGCTCTTGCTCCCGGTCACTGTGTGTCTGGCCCCGTGGCTCAGGCTGACCTGAGTTGCTCTTGCTCCTGGTCACTGTGTGTGTCTGGCCCCGTGGCTCACGCTGACCTGAGTTGCTCTTGCTCCAGGTCACTGTGTGTGTCTGGCCCCGTGGCTCAAGCTGACCTGAGTTGCTCTTGCTCCTGGTCACTCTGTGTGTCTGGCCCCGTGGCTCAGGCTGACCTGAGTGCCTCTTGCTCCTGGTCACTGTGTGTGTGTCTGGCCCCGTGGCTCACGCTGACCTGAGTTGCTCTTGCTCCCGGTCACTGTGTGTGTCTGGCCCCGTGGCTCATGCTGACCTGAGTTGCTCTTGCTCCCGGTCACTGTGTGTGTCTGGCCCCGTGGCTCACGCTGACCTGAGTTGCTCTTGCTCCCGGTCACTGTGTGTGTCTGGCCCCGTGGCTCATGCTGACCTGAGTTGCTCTTGCTCCCGGTCACTCTGTGTGTCTGGCCCCGTGGCTCAGGCTGACCTGAGTGCCTCTTGCTCCTGGTCACTGTGTGTGTGTCTGGCCCCGTGGCTCACGCTGACCTGAGTTGCTCTTGCTCCCGGTCACTGTGTGTGTCTGGCCCCGTGGCTCATGCTGACCTGAGTTGCTCTTGCTCCTGGTCACTGTGTGTGTCTGTCCCCGTGGCTCAGGCTGACCTGAGTTGCTCTTGCTCCCGGTCACTGTGTGTCTGGCCCCGTGGCTCAGGCTGACCTGAGTTGCTCTTGCTCCTGGTCACTGTGTGTGTCTGGCCCCGTGGCTCACGCTGACCTGAGTTGCTCTTGCTCCCGGTCACTGTGTGTGTCTGGCCCCGTGGCTCATGCTGACCTGAGTTGCTCTTGCTCCTGGTCACTCTGTGTGTCTGGCCCCGTGGCTCAGGCTGACCTGAGTGCCTCTTGCTCCTGGTCACTGTGTGTGTGTCTGGCCCCGTGGCTCACGCTGACCTGAGTTGCTCTTGCTCCCGGTCACTGTGTGTGTCTGGCCCCGTGGCTCAGGCTGACCTGAGTTGCTCTTGCTCCTGGTCACTGTGTGTGTCTGGCCCCGTGGCTCACGCTGACCTGAGTTGCTCTTGCTCCCGGTCACTGTGTGTCTGGCCCCGTGGCTCATGCTGAAGTGAGTTGCTCCCACTGTGTGCAGGGATGTGTGCCTTGGGTCCCTTCTTGTTATTTGTTGTTTTGTTTTGCTGCAGCTTCTCCTGTCACTGGGTGTGAGCGTGGGGCCGGGAGGTCAGGGAGCTGGCCAAGAACCCGCTCGGGCCCCTCCACAAGGACAGGGGGAGCTGAGTGGAAGCCCCACCTCCAGAACCTGCCCCATGCTCTGTGCTGCCTTCTGTGGAGGGGAGCTGGGGGCTCAGCGCTTTCTCCACCTGCTCCCAGGGGCCTCTTCCATAACTCAGAATGAAGAAGGTACCACGGCCCACAGCCTCTCATCTGAAACCTTGGTGCCAAAGGGGATCTGTCTGGGTGAAGGAGGCTGGTGTGACGTGTGTGTGATATTTCACTTAGGTCCTAGGAGAGGCATCATAAAATGCATCAGCACCCCTGCCACAGAGCTAAGCATGAGTGCACGTGGCGGTTCCAAGGAGCTTTACATAGCTCGACGAGGTTCTCACCAGGTTCTGTTGTCCAGTCTCGCCAAAACATTCTGGTCTTCTGGGATGCTCAGATCTGCGGCTCAGGGACTGTGCTTGCCAACTATCAGGACCCGGGGACTCTGCACCATCTCCTCGGCCAATGTAGACACACCGCCCCACTCCTGGTCATCCACGTGTCCACCCACTCGAAGCAGTCAGCCGTGGTCACATGTGACCATCTGGGATCACCACGATCACAGAAGTCACAGCACCCATCAAGCATCTTCTCTGTCCCGCCCTCTCTGCTGGTGAGGACTCAGGGATCAGGAGTGACAGGGCACAGTTGAGGCTGCGGGGGGCCGCGGGGGATGCCAGGCTGTCGCCCCCTCTGCAGCGTGGCAAAGCACTGCTGTCCAGGCCCAGGCTCTGTGTGGCGTTTGCTCCTGGCCTTGGGGCTCTCCAGGGTGGAGCACACAGTCTGAGGGGCCCTCCTTCCCTATTACCTTCCTGCCAGCTTGGTGGCTTCCCCCAGCCAGGCTCCCTGCGGGGGCTCAGGCTGCCCCCTGCTGGAGACACAGAGAGAGGCAAGACGTGCATCTCAAAGCTCCCAGGGGAGGAGGGGCGTGAGGGGAGGAGGGGCGTGGGGGGAGGAGGGGTCCCCTTCTGGGCCAGTGGGAAGGGCCTAGGCGTATTCACAGGTGCCACCCAAGCCCCCCACCTGACAGATGAAACCCAGGCCTGGGGACAGGAAGTGCCCCAGCAATGAAGAGGGGACCCAGAACTGTGCCTACCCCAGGGCAGAGGCAGGAGCAGAGGAGGGCAGGGCCCCTGGTTGGCAGGAAGAAGGTGGGGGCACCGAGAGGGAGGGTCCCTCCATCCCTGGGAGTCCCGTCCCCCACAGGCATTTCCACTGTCAGACCGTGTGAAAGAATCGGTGTGTTCTCAAGGTACAAGGGGAGTCCAACATGTTCCCACCAAGGAGGCCAAGACAAATACGAGGCTCATGTGCTGAGAAGCTTTGGGAGGGAGCTGGGAGCACCAGCACTTGGGGTTCCCTGAATGTCCCCAGAGCCCCAGGGAGAGGGGACGTCTTGGGAGCCACACCGCTAGCCTTGGGAGGCCCAGGGCAAGGCAGAAGCTGCAGGGCCCACCTGGCCTCCTGGCCCGGGAATAAGGGGACACCAGGGCCAGGCAGGGAATTTCACCCCAACAGCCAGGGCTGGGCCATGCCACACAGGACTTCATCCTACCACTCAGGGCACCGGGTCTCATGCAAGACTTCAGCAGCCAGGGCTGGGCCAGGGCACGGGGCTGCACAGAGGAAGGGCACACAGACAGGATGTGGGTTTTTAATTCTTTTTATTGAAGAAAAGACAAGGAGAGAAAAAATAGATCCCCCTGCTTCTTCCGGGAGGGGCTCAGTCCTGCCCCGGGGGCCTCAAGGGAGGAGGGCTGCGCTCTCCACCTGGTCTAGGAGGGGCCTAGGGCCCTGGAAGGGGTGGGGGGCTGGCTGCTTCCCAAGGGATGGGGGTGTTTAAAAAACGGTGCCAGGCCGGCTGGGCCAAGCAGGCTGGTCCTCCACAGCAGGAGTTCAGGCGGGCATCCTGGGACGCTGGCTGCACCGGGCCTGTCCACTGCCCACAGGTGCCCGCCCACCTGCCCACCGGGCCTCGCCCGAGGAGAGCAGAGTCCGAGGCACCTTTGGCCTCCGATGCCCTGTGCCCGCCGGCCGGGCTGCCTCCTGTCCTGCATCTGGCTCTGGTTCCAGCACTGCGGGCCCTGTGCCTGGCCGCTGTCCGAGCGCCCTGAGGCCGGGGCGCGGGCCTGGCCCGCCGCCCGCGAGCGTGTCTGTGCCCGTCTGCGGCAGGAGCAGGTGGAGCGGCATCCCTCCTCCATGCCCAGTGTGTGGCCGCCGCCCACCCGCTCAGACCTCGGTCTGGAGGTCGATGATGTCCTGGCCCACCAGCGGGATCGTGGCGCCTGACCGCTCCCACTCCACGCTGCGAAGCTCCAGCGGTGAGGGCTGCAGAGGCTCCAGCTCCTTCTTCACCCACGTGGGCGTCCCGTGGGCTTTCCGGAGGCTCTCCCAGGGCCGCTTGTTGGGTGTCTGCTGCTTTTCTGGCTGCTGGGTGTCCCGGTGGTGCAGGAGGGATGGGACCGGAGGGAGAGCCAGGAGCAGGCAGACACGAATCAGTGAGGAAGGGACGGGAGGCGGGGGGCAGGGGGCAGGGGACAGGGGACAGGGGACAGGGGAGGCTGGCAGGGGAAGGGCCCAGAACACAGCGGGGTCACAGCAGGGGCAGACTCTCCCCAGCCTTGGCAGAGGCTGCAACCCCCATGATGGGGTCAGGCTAAGAGGTCCCTGCCAGGAGGGCAGCCTGAAGGCGCCACCCCAATCCGGACCCACGGCCTAAGGAGCAGGCTTGTGACTGCTCAGCTCCAGCATGGCCACGGCCTCCAGAGTCCGGCATGGCAGGGTCAGGCCAGCCTCTGAAGGAATGAATGAATGAGTGGTGACTGAGAGGATGAGTGGGCGGAACCAGGGAGAAAGGGAGACAGTGGCCTGGCCTCAGGGCTCTCCCCGCCCTGCCCCCCGGCCCTCCAGACCTTGCTCTCCGTGCCCAGCACCTCCTTGTCCTTCTCCACCGCGTGCTGCAGCTTCCGGTTCAGGTCCTGGAACATGTCCTGGTGCCGCTTCCGGGTGTGCATGATCTTCTGCAGGGGCCTGGGTGGTGAGTCCTGGGCCAGGAGGAGGCCACAGCCCCCACCACCCCCACCCCTGGCTCCTGGGGAGCCTCTGGCCATGTGGGGGGCTCAGAGCATGTCCAGCCCCAAGTCTCTGGCGAGGGGACACCAGGACTCACCTCAAAGTCCAGCTCTGCATAGCGTGACTTCCGCCGCTGCAGGGAGAAGGAGTTCGTGACCATTCGCTGAGGGACCCTAAAATCTGACAGGTTCACGCTTCTCCCTGCCTGAGACTGAGGGCATCAGGGACCCGCTCACCCCAGGCCTGCCTTCAGGGACCAGGCCGGACCTGGGGGACATGCCTGGGGGTGCAGTGGGTGCCTGCTGCTTCCCATGTAGGCTGCCCCTTCCGTGGAGACACTGAGGACCCAGGTGGGAGGTCAGGACAGAGGGTGAGGCTGCCAGGGCCACAGAGCAAGTCAGCAGCCCCGGCCCCAATGACAGTGGTGGGCTGGAGGGCTGCAGTGTCCCAGGCCACTCCCTTCCTGCATGAGTGTGAGGTCTCTGAGAGCCAAGTGAACCTGCAGAAGCCCTGGCCCTCCGGCTCTCCCCGCTCAGATGGGCCTGCCTGCCCACAGGGCTGTCCCTGACTAAAGGCAGCTCCCTCAGCCATGCGCTTGGCGTCAGGGGGCAGCACCAGGACTGGGCTGGGGTGTGCAGCTCGCCTGCCTGGGAGACACTCCCCAGGGTCAAGGAGACCAGAACTCGGGGCCACATGGTTGGGTCCGCTGACAGAGAACTCAAGGACTCAGGGCAGCATCGCCAGAGACCAGGAGCCAGGTGGTGGGAGCATATCCCGTGGGAGGGCTGCCTCTGAAACCACATCCTGCAGGTCGAGGGAGCCCGGCTTAGCGGCAGGCTCCAGGCAGACCAAGGCAGGGGCGTGCAGCCAGCCTGTCCCAGGCTGGATTAGTGACTGCTAGGTGCAGGCCCCGCTCCCGTAGGTCCAGACTGTGGGTCCCTGAGCCCCTTTGAAATGGGGTGAGACCACCCTGCCAGGCCTAGAGTGGGGGCCACATGACGGTCATACCCAGCACTTGTGCTGAAGCTCACGGTCACAGGGGCCCAGCAGGGTTAGGGGTGGGGGTGGGGGTGCCACTGGGAGGTGGAGCTGGCACAGCCCAGCCCGCTGATGGCCTGGGGTCCCACCCAGCAGGGGCATCCTGGCTGCTGCAGCCCGTCCTCGCTGGTTGGCGTGCGGCCCATCCCTTCCCCCCTCACCTCCAGCGAGCTCACGGACAAGGTGGTGACATTCTCGTTCTTGGTGCTGGGACCTGCACTGGGTCCCGGATGGGCCGCAGGCTCCCCGGGCTCCCCTAGGCTGGGGGGTGCCGGCTCCAGACTGGGTGGCGGGGGCAGGGGCTGCTGGGGAGGCGGGGGCGGTGGGGGTGGAGGTGGCGGGGGCTGGATAGTGGGTGCCTCGGGGGGCCCGCCGCTGGGGGGCTGGCGTGAGGGCGGGCTTCGGGCAGGGAGGGTGGCGTCGGGCGCCGTGCTGAGGTGGATGAGGCGAGTCTGCGGCATCTGGTCGATGTGGATGCTGTACTTGGTCTCCTCCTTGGGCTTGGGCCTCAGCGTGGCCGTGGCCGTGGCCGTGGCCGTGGGCAGGATCACGTAGCTCGTGTCCAGAGCCTTCTCCTGGGCCCGGCTCAGCTCCGAGTCCAGCTTCTTGAAGATGTCCCCATCACCAATGAAGGAGGACTTGGGCGCCTTGTCCCTCTTGAGGGTCAGCGAGTGGTTGGGGAAGTCGGGTAGGGGCCCGCCGGGGTAGCGGGGCGAGCCGTGGAGGTGCAGCTTGGACACGTTGGCCGGCAGGCTGTTGAAGTTGGTGGGTGGCCCCTTGGCGTGGGCCAGCTTCAGCTTCTCCTCCTCTGGCAGGGACGGCCGCTTCAGTGTGCCTGTGATGGTGGCGGTGCGGCAGGCCGCGATGTCCTTGTTCAGCACTGCAGGGGCAGCAGGGAGACAGGTGTGGGGGACACAGGTGTGGGTGTGAGGACAGCGGGGGATGGTTCCGGCGGGAGAGGGGCCCCAGTCTGACCTTCGAGGCCACCACCTCCTGGGAGACCCCAGCCAGGTCCCACTGGGTCCTGATCTGAGGGTCAACTGTAGGTGCCACCTACCCATGCCTGGCGCTATGGTCCCTAGGGTTCCTATGTCCTCAGATGAGGCTGCCAGGCAGGGTGGCCCTCTCTGCCGGCCCCCAAGAAGAAAAACGGTTGTCACCCACACTGCCCTCCCCAGCGCTGAAAAGAGCAGGAGAGGGCGGCCTGGAGCCCAGAAGCATGGGGACATGGCAGAATGGCCTGTACTTGTGACAGCCCAGCCGGCCCTGCAGTGCTCCCAACACCCACAGCCCTGGGCCTGGTGTGATCAGGGGCCGAGTGGGGGTCCCAGTGGTACTGAGTGCAGCTGTGAGGCCCTGGCCTCCCTCACAGCCCTTCCTGCATCACTGCCCCAAGGCCATGGGCCTTTGCCTGCTCCCCACTCCATCCTGGGGGCCTCCTCGTCCCTGGAAAGACCCCACACCCAGACACCTCTTGCTTCTATGTCTGCTCAGCTGCAGCAGCCCAGCCAGCCTGATCTCCAGTTTGCCCCTGACCTCCTGCCAGTGAATCTAGCCCCCACTTGCTGGCTGAGAGCCCCAAGGTGACCCCGGCCCAGCCGCCTGCCCCCTACAGAGGGGTGCCTGCCCTCCACATACCTTCTCTCTCCAAACATCCAGACCCTGGGGCCCTTCCTGGGAAGCCTGGCCTGCCTCCTGTGCCCTGCCCCGTGCAGGCTGGCAGATGGGTGCCCCCACCACTAGCAGCCCTGGGTGCCTGTGTTCACCAGCTGCTCCCGTCAGCCACCTCGCCAGCCACTGGCCCTAGGGTCACCCACACCCCCTGAGCTGCCTAGCCAGGGGTCACTTACTCTGCCAAACACATCCCTCCCATTCCCCTCAGAGCCCATCGGGCCACGCTCCTGGGGCTGTCCTGTTCGCCACCTCTAACAGCAACGCCCTGTACCCACCTTCAGCCCCACCCCTCCCCTCGTCCCCACCCAAGAGCGGTCCATAATCATCCCCACCAGCTCCCATGCCCCACCCAGAGGGCCCTGGTGTTCTCAGGACACATGCCCCCAAGGCTGCCCCACCCCACACAGACCCCGAGGCTCCCAACCTCCCGCACACCTCCTGCTTTGCTCCCCACAAGGCAGAACGAGGGCCCGGCACATGAGGAGTCTGTGCACCTCCCTCCATGTGCCCAGCTTGGGGCAGAATAAAAGCCAAGCTCCCCCCAGGCCCAGGCCCCGCACTGGCGCCCTGCCCACCCTCCCCCTCCGAAGCAGCTCTGGGCACTCAGCACCAGCTGCTCATGGTGCATGCACTAGCTGCATGCGATCCAGAAGGTGCTGCAGACAGGGCAGGAATGCGAAGGAATCGGGGGCCTGGAGAGGCCCACACACACACCAAAACCACTGAGGTCCCAAGCACTGGGGTCACCTTTAGGGGAGGTTGTGGGGCTGGATACAGGAAACCTTAAGGGGGCAGAAGGCACTTTTTGTCCAGCTCCCATTCAGCCCAGACCTGATGTCACCCCCTCCGGGAAGCCCTCCAGGGGCCCAACTGGCAGCAGCACACACTCCCCACCTGGGGCTATTCCAGCTCCTCTGCCAGGGCTGTCTCTAGAGAAGGTGCTCCTCAAATATCTAAATGACCAGAGGAAGCACGGTCCATTGGCCTCGCCACAGCCCAGAAAGCCACTGCCTGGCACTGCCTCAGGACCTGGTTCACAGAACAGTGACGGGGACAGAAACAGACCCTTGCTGTCTGATGCTTGGGGCTGGGTGTTAGAGCTTCCTTTACTGGGCATTCTCTTTTTGCACTTGGTTCCAGGAAGCTCAGCACTGGCCTTGAGCTCCATGGCAGGTCCTTCTCCCTGCCTTCCTCTTGCTGCCCATTGTCCCCCTAGCTTGAAAGCTCCACCCACTTCTGCCCCTGCTGGGACTGGCAATGAGGAAATGAAGGTGGCACAGAACACATGTGCTGGAGGGGGGCAGGCAGGAGAGAGTGGGCAGAAGGTGGGGAGGGGAGGGACAGTAAGGGTGGGGCTGTGCTCCTCGCTGGGGCCAGGACGGAGGGAGAGGAGATGCCAGGTGAGCAGGGGAGGCAGCCGGGGCTTCATGGGCACCTGAGCAGGAGAGTCCTGGAAGCTTCTGCTCATGCCCCATGGGCCCTCCTTTGGCCTCGGGGAGTAGGTGGGGTGAGAGGCACAGGGGCCAAGGTCGCTGCCCCAGCTGGATCCCCAGAGCAGGTCCTCTGGGTCCCAGTGGGCCTGACAGGAAGGCTGGGTGTGGGTGTGGGTGGACCAGATGGGTGATGTGGGTGATGCAGAAACAGAGGCATGGCGTGGGGACGTGCAGGGTCCGGGCCGGCACTGTCCTCTCACCTGTCGGGCGCTCACCTGATCTACAGGCCAGGTCCACGTCCTTCTCGAAGTCGGTCTGCAGGACAGAGAAAGCAGGACCCGGTGAGCGCCTCCCTTGGAGCAGGAAGCGGGGCAGGGGGAGGGGGGTGTGCGTGCGCGTGCGCAGAGCACTCAGGAGAGCCCCCGAGGAACCCCGCCGACACCCAAAGCCCAGGGCCCATGCTGGCCGCGCCTCCCTCGCACTTGCCTGTGTACGTGCGTTTGTATCTCTGGGTGGATGTGTGTGAGGGTCAGGATGCATGCGTGTTATGGATCTGTCTCTGTGTAAGTGGGTAAATTCGCGTCCCTGTGTTTACGTGTGGATTCGTGTTTGTTTATAAACGTGACAGACTGCATGAGTGTTCTGCACACGTATGTTCCTGTGGTTGAGCCTATTTGTGTGACACACACGTGCGCTCTCTCCAAGGCATCCGGGAGCCGCTGACCTACTGCCTCCTCTGACCTGGTCCCTTCCCTGAGGCCTCAGAACGGCCTTCGGCCTGCGGCACCAGAACTCTCCCCATTGGTCCCCGCATCCCTCAAAAGGGGCCCCATGCCAGGGCCTGCCGAGGGAGAGGCAGTCGGGGGTGACTGAACATGGAATTCGGGGCCAAGGCTGGCAGCACCTACCACCCTCGAGCAGCCACACCAGGCTGGCACCTGGGGAGGCAGGAGTGGGTGGCCCAGGCCTGCCTCAGGGAGCTCAGGACCTGCCCAGGCCTGGGGCTATCCTTCTCCAGGGGCCCTGGGGCTCCAGGGACACGCCAGCCCTTCACTGAAAACCTGGAGGTTCCTTCCCTGCACATGCAGGAGTCGGGTTGGCTGAAGACAACAAAATCTTCCCTCTGGGGTCAGAGGCCAGGCCAGGAGAAACACCGGGGGAGGGGAAGCTGTGTCCCAAAGTGACAAAGTGGCAGCTGGCAGATACCTGCTCCCTGCCTGATGGAGACGCTGCGGCGCAGAGCACTGAGGGGCCAAGAGCCAAGGTGGCCATCTCTCACCCCGAAGGACCTCACCCTCACTCGGGGCGGGACACGCCTTCTGCCCAGCCCCTGCCTGTGAGCCTCCAGAGTGCCGTGAGGTGGCCGGGCATCCCGAGGACCCAACTCTGCACCAACCATGCAGAGTTCACTGGGGCTCGGCCTGGGCTCAAATGGGTGGCCCAATGGGGCAAGGGTCTAGGAGGACTCCCTGGAGGGGACATGTGAGAATGCACAGAGTGGAGGCATGTGTGAAGGACTCCGGAGCAGGAGCAAGACCAGCACAGCTGCAGGTCCAGCTCAGGACCAGGCCAGGGCTTGAATATTGTCCTGAGGCCTGGAGGGTGGACAGGGGGCCTGGCTCTACCCCCTGTGCCAGCCCCGGGTGCTGAGGCGGGTAGGGATGGGGGCAGAGCTGGAGACTAGAAGAAGCCCACCTTGGCCTGGCTGAGCCCCAAGGCACGGACTACAGAAGGAACTGAGGCTGAGGCGTGGAGGTGGAGGCTCTTACATAGCCTCAGGCCGCCCTCCCTCGGACCTGTGCATGTCCTGGGAACTCTGTGCTATAGAGGACAGGCCATAAGCACAGGCGGCAGGGCGGGGGGCAGGGGGCACAGGGCGGGGGGCAGAGGCGGGGAGGCGGTGTGTGCAGAGCGCAGGTCTGAGGACACCAGGATGGGCAGGAGGAGGGCAGAGAGCCCAGAAAGAAGGTAGGGAGGATGGCCGGTGGCTACAGGAAGGGAAGGCTCACCACCCCTGCAGGGGCTGAGACCTGGGCAGCACCTGAGAGTGCCAGGGAGGCAGAAGGTGGAGATACGCAGGGTGCTAGCAGGGGATGGGCTGAGCAGGACCCCAGGTGGCAGCTGAGCAGGGAAGTCCTGGGTGGGGGACAGAGGGCACTGAGGAGGGGCCTGGGACATGGGATGGGCAGGCTGAGCAGGACCCCAGGTGGCAGCTGAGCAAGGCGGTCCTGGGTGGGGGACAGAGGGCACTGAGGGTGGGCCTGGGACGTGGAATCATGAGGCACCTTGAGACGAGGACTGGGATGCTCAGAGGGTGGTGTCCCACCAGACGGGCACTGCTGCCAGTAGGGTTAAGTGTGGGGTGGACGCTAGCCTCTGCTGAGACCCCCAAACTCATCAGCTCAGCTCTTCCCACCTGGAAACCCTAGACCAGGGGTTCCACTTGGTGAACCTCAGTTTCCCCAACTGCACACTGGGTTCAGAGCTCCTCCCAACGGGGCTGCTGGGGCCTAGGGGAGCCTAGGGCACATGGGGTGGGGGGTACAAGGTGGGTGGGGCAGCCTGAGTCCCCAGGCCCCGAGTCCTACCATGAGCTGGGCGTGGCCATTCTGGAAGGAGCCCCCTGAGTCCCCGTTGCCCTCCTCCTGCCGGTCAACCACACGGCATTTCACAGCATCCTGGACCTGGGGAGGGAGAGCCGAGCACCTCAGTGGCAGCCACGCCCCTCCCTGCACGCCCCCACCCTGTGCCAGCGCCAGATCAGATGAGCAGCATACAGAGGAGGAACGAGCGTCTTGGGAAAGGGCAGAGGTCCCTCGGCGGTGGTCTACAGGGTCATGACCATCTGGGTGGAGAAGGGGAAACGAGACCCTGGCAGGGGGAAGAGCCTACCCATCTCCTGTCTGAGATTCTCTCTACAGAGCTCCCAGCCCCTGAGAACGGCTGCAGGCCCTGGGTCAGTCTGCCAGCAAGCAGCTGCCCAGACCCGCAAGACTGAAGATGTCCCGGGCCTGGCTGTGTCTCCGGCAGCCTCAAGGTCGCTGCCTCCTCCGAGCAGGTGGAAAGCCTGGCCCTCACTGCCCTGCCCTGGGAGTGTCCACCGGGGGTGTGGGGTGCTGTGCCAGGGGACCCTGAGATCTGCCCCTCCCTGCAGCCACCCCACTGGGAGTGACATACTCTGTCAAGGAGGGTTTCACCCTACACAGCCACCCACTCTTCGGGGGGACAGTGGCGACGATGGCAGTGGGCTCCATAGGAGGGGCTGTATGGGAACACCTACTCAGCGGCCAGCACACAGCATATGGACAGTGAGCTTCAAGGAGGTAAGACCGGTTATCCGGGGACATCATCCCAGAACCAGCTGTCTCTCCCCTGAGGCTGGCAGCCACCTGCTGGCTGCTCTGGGCAGTGCACTGACACTCCGCTGGTAACAGTATATAAAGGGAATCCTTGGTGGGGGGTGGTGGTGAAAGCACAAAGGCTTCCTGGAGGAGGTGTCCAAACAGAAGTTGGCAGAGGTGGAAAGAAGATAAGCTGGGGCTCCTGGCTTCCAGGCACCCGCCTACCCATCCGCTCACCCATGGACCTGCAGCCCTGTTCCCTCACCCAGTGCTCTGCTTCATGCTGCTGGGGGCTGAGCACATCCAGCCCACCACCCCTCTCATCAGGCAGATGGGGACCAAGGACCAGAAACAGCAAGAGAACTGTCTATGGCCACACAGCCAGTCAGAGGCAAGGCCACGCCTGGAAGCCAGGGTCTCACTGGCCTCTGACCCATGGACACCAGCTAAGGACTACGGGCCTCCTTGGCAGGTGTGCTGTCCTGCATCCTCTCCTCACGGGCCTGCCCCACAAACACCTGCTGAGCACCTACCGTGTGCCTGGCCCCGCGGGCAGGTGGGGAAGTGCTCTGTGGGTGTGCAGAGGAGCTGGGGCTCCCCACGGCCTTCCGGGACCCTCTCCAGGAATGCCCAAGCCAGCCTCAGCCCAGGAGGCCCTGACTTCATGGCCAGATAAGGGACTGACCTGCCCACCTGCAGGAGTGTCCCAGGTCACAGGGCCGGTCAGGCTGCCTGGCATGGCCTCCACCTGCGCCCCGCCTCCTCAGCATGCCCTACAGGCCTGGCTACCACCCCTGAGGCTGAGGGCCTGAGTAGGGCTGGAGGCCCCTTGCTATCAGGCCCAGGCGGGAGCCCTCTCGGGCAGGAACCTGAGGGCCCTGCAGCCCAGGGCCCACACACAGGGGCTGGGAGCTCAAGGGGGGGCTTTGGGGAAGACTGGCCCTGGTGTCCGCTGTGTCCACCTGCCATGGGAGCACACCGGGTCCCCTCCTTCCCCCACCCCATGTGTCAACCATGAGGCTTCCGGCACATGTGAGGCCCCTGGCGCTGGCCTCTGCTCCAGGCGGCCAGGCTCGGCCTCCCTACAGCTCCTCCTCTCCACTGCCTCCTTTGCAGCTCCCATTGCTGCTCCGTTGTCTGTTGAGGATTCGCCTAATTGTTTTAGAAAGCTCTCCAGGTTCCGTCTTTTCTGTTTGGTGAGACATTGCCTCTGTTTTCTTCCTACTGAGCTTAGAGCTGCTACGGCTTTCATTTTCCATGAGGCTCTCTGTTTTGGGGATGTTCCTTTTTCATAGGCTGCTGTTCTTCTTTCACAGAAGCCAGGCGCTGCGGGCCACGAGTGTGGCCTTAAAGAACCACCTGGGCTTAAATTCCAGCCACAGTGAGGAGCTCCCATGATGAGCTCCCTGGAGCTGTCCTGTCTGTGGAACGGAGCGAACGGCACCTGCTTTAGGGGCAGTCACAAGAATCACTAACACCAGTCCATTGCTGGACAGGGCCCGGCCCTCGTGGTGCTCACCAGGGTGAACAACCTCTCACAGGTGAGGATAAGGAGGGGTTGGTGAGGTTTCTCCTCCCCGGGCTGCCTTGGTCCCCACACTGCCTGGGGTTGGGCTGTTTTCCTGCCTGTCTGGTTGGGTTGAAGCTCGTCAGGAGCGGCTGGGACTTAAGTGTGGGCCGTTGCCTGACTAGTGGATGGCAAGTGTGGGAGTTGTTTCACTGGCAAACGTGGGAACTCCAGCTTTTCCTCCCCTTATCTTTCCTTGTAGTCAGGTTGCCTCCAGAGGGGTGCTCGCCCCTCCCTGAAGAGCTGTGGGCCTGGGAGGCCTGGGCTGACACGTGACGCGGCTCAGCACACCTGTTTCCAGGCGGCATCTCCATCTTCAGCTGCATCATTTGCCTGAGACAAGAGCCCCTCTGATCACTCTGCCCAGAGAGTGAAGCCCAGGCTGGGGAGGCTAAGCAGGGCAGCCTCATCAGTCCAGAATGGGATGGAAATCACCATGTAGGGCCTGGAAAACCAGGCCTCCCATGCCTCAGCCTCCTGTGGCAGCTGGAGATCCCGGGGAGAAGCAGGTCCCACTCCTGCCACCCTCTGCCTGGCTCCCTGCCTCTGGCCGAGGCCTGTCTCCAGTCAGCTGGGGCTGCCCGCCTCGTCCTGCTGCCCAGCCTGCAGTGCCCTTCCTGGCAGCTTCTCCCGTGTTCTTCATCCTTGGGAAGCTTGTGGTTTTCAACAGTCCCTCTGCCGTCTCTCCAGGGGGATCAGGGAGAGGGAGGTGGCTGCCTGCTCCTGGGCCTCCGCCCTCCTGGCACTGATGTGGAGGTCCTCTATCTCATTCCCCCAAGTTCCTCATTCCCCCAAGGTGTCCCAGTCCACCGAGGTTGCTGTGCATACTTCCCCCATCCCAGCCTCCACAAGGTCATCCCCATCCGGCCACCAGCCAGGTGGTAGCTGGGATGTGGTTTGGTGAAAACCTTCTAGTGACACCTTCTGGAAAGGTCCAGAAAATGCCGGAAGCAGGAGTCTCCACTGCCCTGGAAACTGTCTTCTTCAGCTGCCAGCTCCATCAATCCTGTAGGCCCCTTGAGAATGGGAGCCCCTCATGCCTGCATCCCCCACACCGCCAGGACTGAGCGAGCGCAGGGCATCCTTGGGAAGGTGCTGCACCGCCAGGCTGCTCCCAGCGAGAGTGGGATGGACACGCTGACCTGCAGGCCCTGCTCTGTGACCACGGTGGCCGGCAGATGTGTTGGGGCCGTGGACACTGCGCCTCCCCACAATCTCCCTCCCGAGGTCCTTGGGGAAGGAGGCAGCCACTCCACAGCCCCAGGACCCCGCAGGAGGGCCCTGCAGGAGCGCAGCCCATGGAGGCCGCCCCACCCACCTCTCTTCGGAGGATGCAGTGCACCATGACGATGACGAAGCCCTCCAGCGAGTCGAAGACGGCGAAGAGGATCTGGAAGAGTGCGGAGCGGCGGTCGGTGACAGCGAGCACGGCCGACATCCAGGTCAGCGCCAGCAGCGGCAGCACCACGCAGGAGCTCCACAGGGAGGCCCTGGGGACGGAGGGCATCAGCGCTGCCGCCCTGCCCTGCCCCCGGGACACCCTGCCCCAAACCTGCATCTCCAAGCCTCATTGGGGACCTTCCAGCCCCAAGTCGCCATCTCTGTCTCTGGGGGCCAGGGCCAAGCAGCACATCCTCTCTGGGGTGAGTCCCCCACCGCCCAGGCTGCATCTGCGCCCTCTCCTCCCCAGGGCTCCCCCTCCTGTCCCACCCTCTGCCCCTCCTCTCTCTTGAGCCCTTCCTCAGGCTGAGGAGGAGTGCAGTCAACACTGAGGTCCCAGCACCCCTCCCCAAGTCCTAGGGCTCTGAGGGAATCCAGGAGGAAGGTCCTGAGAAGCTGGACAATGGGGAAGAGCTCTTTGGGGAAGACCCAGGTTCCTGACAGTCTAGGAGGTGATGGGGGAGGGGAGATAGGCTGGAGGGGGCGGGCTGTCTGGTGTGGGGTGGGGAAAGGAGGACACCCTGGTCTAGCACCCTCAGACAGCCACAGGCCCCAGGCAAGGGGTCCAGGCCCTGAAGGACAGAACAAAATGGCCATGGTGGGGAGGGGAAGGTGGAGCCCAGGGCTCAGAAACCTGAAGGGAGAGAGGAACTTGGGGGAATGAGATAGAGGACAGACGGACGGACAAGGCCAGCAGGAGAGGATCAGAGAGACAGAGACAGATGGCAACAGACAGGCTGATGGGCGCTTCCTCCTCTTCCAGGGCCAGCTCCGCTCCGCCTCCTGAGCCCCAGCAGGCACCTGCCTGTGGACCCGTCCTGCTGCCTCTGCCCCAGTGCTGCCCCCTTTCCCAGGGGGTCCTCCAGGAGTCCCACCGCAGGCATCATCCTGCCCCTGGGAGCAGTGAAGGCCTGGGCCCCTCCCTACACCTGCACACTGGGTTCCACGTGTGGACTCTGAGCCTGTGCTCTCGTCCTCACAGGGGGGACACTAAACTGCTTCCCGGGGCTGCGGGACACAGACAGAGCCAGCAGGGCCCCGGCAGTGGTGAGGGCTTGGGAGGTGAGTCCTGTGTCTGCTAACAGGGACCCCACAGCCTGCAGGACTCTCATCACCACCAGTGGGGACTGGTGCCAGCTTCCCTCTTCCCCCCATCCTGCACAGGGTCACCACACAGGGAGCTGGGGCTGGAGGACAGAATAGGCAGCAGGGGACCCAGGCATGGGGTTGGAATGCCAGGCAGGAGCTGGCGTGCCAGGGCTGGCAGGAGAGACGCTAGAAGAACCTGAAGTGCTACAGGACAAGGACCCCCAAATCCACAAGCAGTGCTCCTCAGTCCTCTCCAGCGTGGCTCAGTCAGCAATGCTGCTCCCAGCCCTGGCTCGGGGCACCTGTGCAGGGCCCAACCCCCAAGGGACGCCTCTGTCCTCATCTCCCAGGACCTCTCAGCAGGCACAGCCAGGCATGCCCACCTTGGACTCTCCTCCTCTCCCCCACCCAGCCCTCACTCCCGGCCTGGGCCTGCTTTTCTCCAGCAATGCCATCCAGGGGTGATCTGCCTGGCCCCGGCCTCAGGCGTTACCATCTAGCCATGGCTGAGACACGGGCAGGCACAGAGCCTGGAGCAGCACGGGGGAGGAGGCTCCTGGTTCCACGCAGCTAGTGCCTCCCAGCTCACAGGGCACAGTGGCCCTAGCCACGCGCCGCTCCTCCCGCTCTTGCACATAGGGTGGGCACTAACAGCATCACAGGACTCCCTCTTCCTGTACAACTCGAGTCTGCTAGAGGCCCCCAACCTCCCTCGCCCTCCCTGGCCCTGAGGAGCCTGCCCCTGCTCCCCACCCCACCGCGTCTGGGAACTTAGGTGGGTAAGAGGCCTCCCTTGCCCATGACGGTGCCACTCCCTCCCCATCCAGGCTGCAGCAGCAGGCAGGGACCGCAGCTGTCGCTCACTACTGTGTCCCTGCACCTGGCACAGAGCCTGTGACCACCATTGATGTTCACATAGCCAAGGAATGACTCTGACACGGAGCAGGAGCCCTTGGCTTGGGCCTCAGTTTCCCCCATGGCAGTAAGCTGGAGGGTCTCTCCTCCCTTCCAAAGCAGGTTTTCTTTGAGCTGGGACCCTGGACTCCTCTCCTCACCCGAGTTCTGAGGGCAGAGGTGCAGGCCCGGCCCTCCCTCCCCATGGAGACGCACTGCCTGCCTCAGTCACCACCGCTGCTGACCGGAAGGGTGCTGGGTCTCCAGGCCTGACCTTTACAGCCTGGTCTGCTATGGCGGGCAGATGGCCCAGGGCCTGGGGACCAGTAGATGCCTGCCACAGCGCGGCTTGGCCTCTGCGGCTGGGAAATCCTGCTGCAGCGAGAGGTGGGAAGGAACCAGAACGCTCGGAAGCCACTGAGGGGAGGCCGGGGAGCGCCCAGCTGCACCGCGCCTGCTCCCACCTGGAAGGCAGATGCCCGGGGGTGGGGGGAGAGGCTGAGTGACTCCCCAGGCAACATCCTCTGGCCCCCACTTCTCTCTGATGGAACGAGATGGGGCATATCCCGCAGCTCCCGTCCCATGCCTGGGGTGGCACTCCCCATCCCTGCTGTTGAGATAAAGAAAGAGCAATGCTAGCACCAAGGAACTGGCACTTCCAGGGGCCTGGCAGGCCAGTGTGGATACTGTCCCCGCTCCGGGCTCGCCCCTCCCACCCAGGCTAGCCTCGCCCCACCGGCGTCTCACAGCACCAGGGTCCAGAGCCCTTTCTCCCATGGCTCCTAAAACTCTGAGCCCCTAGTTCCTGGCTCAGAGAACAAAGCAGGAGATGGGATACAGCCCTCACCTTGGGCTGAGAGAGGCAGGGTATGGACAAGATGAGCCCTCAGGCTGGGAACTCTAGGCCAACAGGCCCCACCCACCTGAGCCCACAGCACCCTGCCCTACACACAGTCCCTGAGGCTGCCCAAGGTCAGCAGAGCAGCCCCTGACCCTGAACCTGTGCGCTTTCCCTTGGCCCTGGCTGCCTCTTGCTCTCAGGCACACATGCATACACACACACACTCACCTATAAATACACTCCCACATACACAATGCTCACATGCTTACACACACACTTGCACACACCTGGTCGTATATACACAGTCATACATATACACACATGTTCACACACAAAATACCAGATTGTACTCACAAATGCACACACACATACAAGTTCCACTCATACATGCATACATGCACACACACCAGGGTGCACTCACACATGTACACTCATGTACACACAGCAAATTCACACACATATACACCAGAATCCACTCACACACATGTACACACACACCAGGCTGCACACACATGCACACGTGCGTACACACACACACCAGGTCCCACTCATAAGCATGCACATGCCAGGTTCCACTCACACGTACACAGCAGGGAGCACTCATACACATGCAGACACTTGTACACACACCAGGCTGCACTCACACATGCATGCACACACAACCAGGCTGCACTCACACATGCATGCACACACACCAGGCTGCATTCACACACACCAGGCTGCACTCACACATGCACACACACCAGGCTGCACTCACACACACATGCACACACACACACCAGGCTGCACTCACACATGCATGCACACACACCAGGCTACACTCACACAAACATGCACACACACACCAGGCTGCACTCACACATGCACACACACACACACCAGGCTACACTCACACATGCACACACACACACCAGGCTGCACTCACATGCATGCACACACACCAGGCTGCACTCAGCGTGGGCCCCAACAGGGATGGTCCTGGGGCTCTCGGCCGCCTCCAAACTCAGGCCTGGGGTGTGGGCACTGTGGCGGGCAGAGCCATGGTCTGCACATGGGGGAAGGCAGCACCGGACCCCTGTGCTGTGCTCGGCTGAGGGTGGACTCTGCCTCCATCTGCACAAAGCAGCAGACTTCCCAGGGGAAGGCCACTGTGCCTTCCTCACCCTTTCCTGTGTGTCTGCAAGGGAGCTGACCTGGGCAGGGACCTCATGCAGGTCCTTGTGGCATGTATACGCTCATACGTGTGCCCAGGTGTGTGGGTGCGTGCACACAGACCAGTGTGCTTGGTGCCCCTCCACCCCCACCCCAGCCCCTCCCTCCCTGTGTGGGCAGCGAAACCTACACAACCACACAGGCAAGCTCCTGGGCATGTGTACCTAATGCAGCAGGCCTGCACACATAGGCAATGGGGACAGACAGACTGCGGGCCGCCTGGGCTTGGCTCTAGCGTGTGCCCAAGCCCAGCTCCATCAGCGACTCACCATCCCTAACCTCTATTTGCTCAGTGGTAAGATGCGAATGTAACCACAGAACTTGCCACGGTGCTTATTCCAAGAAGCACAGAAAACTGCACCCAGTAAGCACCGAGATTGAGGCTGCATCGTGGAAACGGTCAGGTTGAGGCAGGTGCTCTCCGTGCTTACACCCCGAATGTAGCCCTGGGGACCTCTTCTGAGTGTGACCGCTGTCTCAGGAGCAGTGTGGGACAGGTGGGGCAAGGCTGTAGAGAAGGCTGCTCTAGCCTCCACTTCCCAGGCCCGGAGACAAAGCATCAGGACGCCCACCCTGAATGACAGACCCCAGGGCGGGTCTTCAATGCATGCACTCAGCATTGAAGGCCAGCTCCGCTGGTTCCTAACCAGGATCAGAACCCACAGGCACGCAAGGGGAAGGCTTCCTGAAGCTTCTTTCACTGAGGACAGCAGGAGGAGCCAGGAAGAGACAGGAACAGAGAGAAAGAGAGAGAGAAAGATCGAGCATCCAAGCAAGACTGGCACGGTGGGGGTGGGGGCACGCAGACACCAGCTGGGGCTGGACAACACAGAGCAGCAGGCAGAGGTGAGGAGTGGGGGCCGGAGGGGGCGGGAGGACAGAGGGGCTTGTCCACCCTAGTCAGCTCCCCAAGCTCTGCAGCTTCCCCTCTGTGCCCAGGGCCCTGACCCTGATAGGTGGGCGCAGCCACACATCCCCAGCGCCTCTGCCCTGCTCCCATGCCCTGCCCATCGGCTGTGCTGAGAGCAGTCCCTGGGCTTGGACTCCCCGGAGGGAGGAGCATGCGCTCCACCTCTTGCCTGAACTGTCCTCCCCACGATGGAGGTCCCACAAGGACGGGGAGTCCCGGCATGGAGAGGTGACACCCTCCCCCCAGCCACACAGCAAGGCTTGTGGCGGGAAGTGGGAGGCCAGAGACCCCCAGCGCCAGCCTTGGGGGTGTCCTCCTGACACCCTGCGAGCCCGGCAGAGGCAGTGTCCCTACACAATCAGTTTCACAGCTTTTGAGGACTTTACAGGGCCCTGCCTACCCCAGGTCAGATGGAGACACTGCGGCACAGTGAGATGCAGGGGCTGGCTGAGCCTGAGGGGCCTCTGCACTCGGCACCTCCATTTCCCCACCAGCTCTGGGATCCCTGGCCCTGCAGTCTCGGATTGGGTGTGGAGCATCCTCCATCCCCTGGGAGCCCGGAACTGGGTAGACTCTGGGTCTTGTGCTCCAGGGGGGCGAGGAGCCACGTGGCCCGGTCCTACCCTGCCCGCTCCTTCAGCTTCTTGTCCGTGATGCCATCTTTGGACACCAGCTTGTTGAACACCAGGATCCCAATGACCATGTTGACCTGCCGGGCAGAGAAAGGTGGGAGTGGGGGGCGGGGCCGCCGCAGGCCCACGGGCTGACCTTGGCTGGACAGACACTGGCTGTGCTGACCACGACCCTCTACCCCACCTGGGGTCACCTCCCATGCCGTCATCATAGGAACCCCAGCACCCAATGTACGTCAGGTGACCTCCAGTCCAGCTGCCCACTGTGCAGAGCCCTCCCGCGTGTCACCACACAGTCAGCACCTCCGCTCTGGTCCTTGCATCCCTTCCACCAGGGAGCTCCCCACCCACAGGGACTGGAGGCCCTTGCTAGCCTGCAGCTGGAACTAAGGAGCACCCTGAATCCCAGCTCTCCTGGGCCACATGCCTCCTGCCTGTCTGCTCTGGGCAGGCCGCCTCCTCTCCCTAGACTTCCTTCCTGATCTCTGCCTCCTATTCCCATCAGACTAACTGCCCGCCCCAGAAGTGCCCTGGCCAGGCTCCTGCACGCAGGGGACTCTTCCTGGGCTCTAGCATAAGTCTCCCATGCCTGCCACTGTCCAGGTCCAGGCTGCCACTCAAGACAAGAGCTGCTCCCGGAGTGCCTCCGGTAAGCCACCGGCCCTGAGCATCCTGGGGTCTCCCTGTCTCCTGGCCACCTCTCCTGGGGGGAAGGAGGGGTCTCAGCTCATACTCCCTCACTGCCAGAGGGTCCCTGACCCTCCTCCTGCATTCCTGCTCTGTAGACAAGACCCTGAGGGGCAAGGCCTGACTTCCTCAGGCCCAGGTTCCAGCAGCGGGAGTCTGGAGATCCCAGGACTCCACGGACCCCTAGACCAGGCATCCCATGTCTAGAGGACCAGGGTGGTGGACGGCGTTTCCCCTAGCCCAGGGCTCCCGACTGCACACTCGGCCTGCCTTCCACACTGGATGCAGAGTGCACGGATGCCCACAGCCCTGGCCAGCCTGACGGGCAGCAGCCTCTTTCTTGGGCAGCCTAGTTTTCTGATGTGGCTGGAGCAGAGAAGAGAAGATGGGGGCCAGCAACGGGCACTGCCTGCTGCAGGCTCTGCCCAGACTGCACCATGTGGCCCCCAAATACAGGAGGGGCCACTGGGATGCAGGTCCCACAGCCCTCAGGGTCAGCCCTCTTCCTGACACATCCTGGGGAGAGAGGTACAGGGGTGGGGCTCCTGTCTCTGTCCCCTTTCCCCCAACCTCCATCCTCAGGTCCCTGGGGCACTGCCCTGCTGGCGCTGAGCCCAGCCCTGGACAGGTATGGCACGCCTGCCCCTCCTGCCTCCCACCTGGAGGAAGGAGTAAAGGAGGTGGGATTCCACAGCCAGGATTGTGGGGAGGGGTCTGGGGCTGCCCAGGGATGGCGTCCAGCCCTCACTAGGCTCCCCAACTGCTCTCTGCAGGGCTAGCTCTCCCTGCCACCAGCCTGTGCCCGAGTCCCACTAGGAGGCATGTGGTCCTGCGGAGACAGCAGTCAAGCGGCAGGAGTGACCGGACATGGACGACCCCTACCGGGGCAAGATAGGAGGGCAGGGAGGGTGGGTGTGAGCCCTGGAGCTCTGCCTGAGTAAAGGGGCAGGGGCTGGCTGAGCAGGCTCAGAGCTGGACCCAGTAGAGACCAGTGACCCCAGGCAGGTCCCTCAGGCTGCTACAGCTCACCTGTGACCTGGGGACGGTGACCCTGCCTGCCACTTGCCACAGTCTTGCTTTCCTCCACATGAAGGTGGGAGGAGAGAGTGAAGGAAAGTCCAAGGACCCACTCAGGGAAGGTCCTCACTGGCAACCCCAAGGCGGGCAAGAAGCCCCAGCCTCATGTCTGGTGCTCTGGGGCCAGACACCCACAACCCAGGTCCAGCCTGCAGCTCCCGGCTACTTGCATCCTCTGTCTGTCCGTCCGCCCCCAGCTTCCTCCCATGCCACTCACTCACCACACCTGTGTGGACCTCCTGGCAGGTACACAGCTGGTGCCCAATCATCAGGCCAGCTGAGACTCACAGGTGTGAAAGCTCACTACCCTGGTCCAGGCCTGCACTGCACGCTGAGGGCAGGTCAGAGTGGGGCTATGGGCACCCCACCCCCTGGTGATCAGGGCCCCCCTGAAGGGACAGCGGGTGCACGGCCCAGGGCAAGAGAGAGCACTGAGGCCCAGGAGGCAGGTGGGGGGCCCAGCTGGGGTCAAGGGAGGGGGGCCGGGGCAGGTCAGTACCAGCACGACGGCGGCGGCCGGTCCCACGAAGGCATAGAGCAGTCCCCCCTCCAGGGAGAGCCAGCAGCTGGGGAGGAGACAGGCCATCAGTGCCACCCCTAGTGCAGAGGGGTGCTGCTGGCCTCTCAGGAGTAGGGGAGGTGAGCTGGGAAGTGGCAGAAGGAAACTAGCACTCATTAAGCACCTTCTGCAAGAGCACATCACACCCACTCGTTAGCCCTAAAAGCCTTAGGAGCCCCCAGGCAGCCGTTGTCACCCCATTTTACAGATGGGGACCAGAGTGGGGGACCCACCTGCTTAGAGCCACACAGCGGGAAGACCAGGCTGGCAGGACAAAGGTCAGCTGACTGTCCCTCCTTATCCTTCTCTTGAGGTCTCTGGCCAACTCCCCTTCCTGACGTGACTCTCAAATGCTGGCCTGGGTCCTGGGCCCACAGGCTCAGGGCCTGCAGCCTCAGCACCTGGTCCTGTGCTCACACATCTGCCCTGGGCCCTCCCCGCCACCCACCCAGGCAGCAGCCCTGCATTCCCCAGCTCTCTGGACACCACCCATGGTGCCCACAGACATCACAAACACAGTAAGGACAGTTCCCTCTATCCTAAGCAGCTACCCTATGTCATCTGTCAAACTCCTCTTCCTCCTTCAGAACCCCATCCCCTCCTAATCACTCCCTGACTCCAGCAGGCTAGGTATCTGCCCCTGTCATCTCTGGAGACACTGTTTGGATCTCCCTCTCAACACTCACCCCTGAACCCTCAGCTTTGTCCACTCCCTACCGCCACTCTGACAGGGTAGTGCTCCAGGGCCCCGCCACATCCTGTCCCTGGGGCTCCACAGTGGGCCATGACGGCTCTGACCCTCCCACTCAGCCGGCATCCATCACCTCCTCCTGCCTCTTGCTCACCCCTCCCCCTACTTCCCTGCAGCCACTCCCTCCCCCTAAGTCTCAGTTCCCCTCCCCCACTCCAGTTCTTCTGCCCATCCCAAGCCCCAGACCGTCTCTCCCTATCTTGGCAACCACACTGCCTCTAGGATGACCTCAAACTTCCTGGCTTGGCACTTAAGGTCCCAAGAACCTGGCCCAGTTGACCCTTCAGGGCCTTGTGACTTCATCTGTGACATAAGCCCCTGACCTCTGCCCTGCCACAAGCCTGCTGTGGGGGTGTGCCCAGAGCTCTTGCATCTCAAACAGCCCTCCCTCTCACCAGCACTGTGCAGAGGTGGGCTCCCCACTGAGCAGATGGGGAAACTGAGGCTCAGAGTGGCTAATGGACCTGCCCAACTGACAGAGGAGGAGATCCTGATGGCCCGATTTCTTTCAATGCTGCTGCCCACTGCTCACTGCCAGGGAGAAGCTGGCTGACCAACGGGGAGGGGCTGCCCAAAGGGGCTCAGCCTTCAGCCCCTGGGGCCCCACCATCCCTGAGCCTCTGTGAGATGGTCAGCGCCACACAGCGGGAGGACACAGCCAGCCCTTGCCTTCCAGGGAAGTGGAAGGCTCTGGGGGTCCATGTGGCCATCCACCACACCCCTAACCCCCAACTCACTAGTTCATGGTGCTGTACCCTTTGGCCTTGGTGAATCCCACGGAAATGGCCACGACCAGCGCGGGGAGCCCTGGAGAAGGAGCAGAGAAATGGCGTTGGCCCCACCCAAGCCCCGGCCAGACTCCACCTTCTCCCAGCCCTGCCTTGGAGGCTGGGGGCCAGGCAGGCACTTCTGAAGCCAATAGAAGATGGGGCTGAGCATGAGTTGGGACAGAGGTGAACGAGGTGAGGGCCCTCGGAGCTGGGTGCAGGGCAGGCCAGTGAGCAGGGAACACATGGGCGCCAGGCACAGGTGACTTGCAGAAAAACCAGGAATCGTCTTTCTGTGAATGTATGTCCCAAACAGTACACTGGATGTACTTGTGCTAGAAACGTTTTCATTATCCAGACATGAAAGGGAACTGGGTGTCCCACGCTTTATCTGGCAACTCCATGGAGAATTGAGGGCCCAGAGGGAGAAGCCCACCCAAGCAGCCGCCGAGGCCCCAGGGGTCCACAGGGGACGGGGAGAGGAGGGGCTGCCAGGGCAGAACAAGCAGCAGGGCCAGGAGGCAGGATGCCTGTCCGGGAGGGTCAGGGGGGCCACCGCTCACCCCAGCCCAGACAGAGGAAGCGCTTGCGGATGAGGCGGTTCCGGAGGTGGCCCGTCACGGCCATGTAGGACTGCCAGGCCTCGGTGAGCACCCAGCAGAAGGAGGACAGGAAGAAGAAGTGCAGGAAGGCGGCCACCAGCGTGCACACCACCTGCGAGGGGCCAAGGGTGGGGCAGGCTGGGCAGGTGCTCCCTGGCTCCACGCCCGCCCCCACTGACTGCCCATCTGCAGCTGGAGGCCCAGCACCCAGCACCCTAGCTGGGACCTGAACAGATCCCCAGGCAGAAGGCAATGCAGAGGTCCCTGCCCTGGTCCCTGCCCTGAGATGGATTGTCTAAGCCCCCCTGGGACAAACAGACCCTCCCTCCCTGTCTTCCTCAGCACCACTCACAGCCACGTCAAATGCTAAGCCAGAGGCCGTCTCACAAGTCCAGGTGCCTGCCCATGCGTTCAGGAGGGGGTGAGCCCAAGGCCCAGGGAGGGCATGTCACACCCCAAAGACACCCAGCAAGTTACAGACAACCTCACCCACCCCGCAGACCTGAGCTTTGCTGTAGCACTCACAGGCCCTGGGGCCAGGCCTCCTCTGTCTCACTGCAGGCCTGCTGGCTTTATCCTCTCCCCTATGTTTTCAGGGTGGCCCCTTGAGGAAGCAGGGGCCCCCACCCGAAGGCTGCACCTGCCACATTTAGTGGGATGGGGAGTCCGGGGAGGGCAGGCAGGAGCCAACCATGAGCTATCAGCTTCAAGCCTGGCAAGGGTGGGGGTAAGAGGGTGGACCGTGGGAGCCTCTGTCACCACAGTGTCACTTGTCTTTGGTGCCACTCCCCAGTCCTGAGGCAGCATGAGCTGAGGCCGAATCCACTGTCCCCAAGGGCCTAGGTGGGTCTTGAGCAGGTTCATCCTGAAGGGCCAGTCCAGCAGAGATGCTGGGACACAAGCTGCCCTTCTCCGCCAGCTGACCAGCCTCCCACAGGCCCCTGCAGCCGCAGCGGAGGGCGGGGCACTCCCTGCAGCTGGGGCAGCCTCCTCCTGCAACCCCTCCAAGCCCTCTGCCTGCCTGGGTTTCCCAGGGATCCCATGGCTCAGGACCCTCCTAGGGTCCATCCTCACTCCACCCGAGCATCCTGGGAGGTGCATGGCAGGACGCCAGGCTCCCTACCTTGTTGCGGGTCTGGGTCTGCCCAATGAGGATGAGGGCATTGGAGGAGATGATGGACAGGCAGAAGTTGATGAGGATGACAGACCGTTCCGAGCGGATGTACCTGTAGGAGAGTGTGGGGGCCCAGAGTCACCACCCAACAGAACCCCATCTGCATATGAACTGTGGTCCTGTGGCCTGCAGCAAGGCCAGGGTCCATCCCACCCCACTTCCTGCAGTCATTGCCACCAACAGCACCACCACCACCATCACCATCGCCACCATCATCACGCAGTCATTACCACCATCACCATTACCAAAACAACCATCACCACCATCACTATCACTACCACCACCACCACCATCACCATCACCACCATCATCACGCAGTCATTACCACCATCACCATTACCAAAACAACCATCACCACCATCACTATCACTACCACCACCACCACCTCATACAGTCATTACCACCATCACCATTATGAATGCAACCCTCACGACCCTCACAATGACTGCCACCACCACCATGCCACCATCACATAGTCATCACCACCATCACCATTACCAACACAACCATCACCACCATCACTATCACCACCACCACCACCATCACCACCACCACCACCACACCACCACCACCATCACCATCACCACCACACCATCACCACCACCACACCACAACCACCATCACCATCACCACCACCACACCATCACCACCATCACCACCACCACACCATCACCACCATCACCACCACCACCCTATCACCACCATCACCACCACCACCATCATCACCACCACCACCACCACACCATCACCACCACCACACCACCACCACCATCATCACCACCACCACCACCACACCATCACCACCACACCACCACCACCATCACCACCACCACCACACCATCACCACCACCACCATCACCACCACCACCACCACCATCACCACCACCACCATCACCATCACCACCGCCACACCATCACCACCATCACCATCACCACTACCACACCATCACCACCACCACCACACCATCACCACCATCACCACCACCACACCATCACTACCACACCATCACCACCACCACACCACCACCACACCATCACCATCACCACCATCACCACCATCACCATCACCACCACCACACCATCACCACCACCACACCATCACCACCATCACCATCACCACCACCAAACCATCACCACCACCACACCATCACCACTATTAGCACCATCACCATCACTGCCACTACCACCACACCACCACCACCACCACCAATGCCATCCCCCCAATCACCAGCACCAGCACCATCACCATCACTCGCATCACCATCAGCATCACTATCAACACCACAATCACCAGCACCAGCACCACCATGACCACCATCACAACCACCACCACCACCACCATCCTCATCAACACCATCACCACCACCACCACCACCACCCTCATCAACAGCATCACAACCACCACCACCACCACCAGCCCTTAGGGACTGAGGTCCACCCAGATGGAGAGCTGAGGGCACAGGGCTGAGCCTCAGGGGCTCTGACATGGCCCTGATGTGCTGCATGACCTTGGACAGGTCACGTTCTGTCTCTGGGCTCTCACTTCCTCTTGGGGGACTGTAGAACTGCCCCTGCTGGCAGCTCCTGGGGCACAGGGATGGCCAGGCAAGCTCACCAAGGGAGATGCTTTGAAAATTGTAGGCAGAAAACCTCCTCAGAACTTGGCACATCAGAGCTGAGTTCAGAGCCCCTGAATCCCAATCCCCAGATGTTTTGTGAAATTGAGGCCCCGGGGAAAGGCAGGTCCAGGAGAGAGGAAACACCATGGTTCCCCTAGAGCCCAGTGGATGCTGTGCCCTCAGGCAGGACCACGACCCGGTCACTGTCTGCGGGAAAGCTCCGCCACCCTCCCCGCCAGCCACATCGACCTCTCGGTGCCCGACCTTGGGCAGCAGCCAAGCAGTCAGTTCCGATTATCGGCTACATCGTGCTGCTGGGGAGCTGGAGCCGTGTGTCCTCTGGACACATTGGGAGTCCCCACTTGGCCCCACGGGCAGTGACCTTGAGTTCTTGCTCCCTGTCCCACACTTGTCCTCAGTGAGACATGAACAGGATTCAGGGTGATGGGACCGAGTGCCTGGAGGTGCATCCACATGCTCACAGGCATCAGTGGCCGCTGGGCCTGTGCCCATCACCCACCCAGGCTTGTTACTGCTCAAACACGAGCTCTCCTCCACATCTCCACACCTGCCCAGGCCGCAGTGTGGCCCCAAACACCCGCCCAGCACACTCGGGACAGACAGCAGCTGTGGGGAGTGAGCAGAGGCTTTGGGCCCTGAGGCCTGACTGGGGCTCCGGGGAAGGCTGTGGCCTGGCCTGTTGGTCTGAGGACAGACAGGGCAGTGAGAAAGTGCAGGCAGAGAGGGAGGGAACGCAGGCTGGCATCGCCAGGGGACATGTTCAGGGAGGACAGCAGCACCCGGACCCGCCCCTGCATTTGTGCAGCATGGACACGGCTGAGTATGTGGGGCACCCTTGGGGCCACAGCCCACCTGGGTCTGTGGCAAAGGCGAAGGTGAGAACAGAGGGAGGGAAGGGCACCCAGATCCCTCCCGTCCCCTCAAGGGGAAGAGGTGTGGGATACAGGTGCCAAGGCCGCCCATGCCCAGCACCTGGGGGGCACCCACCTCCAAACAGAAACATAGATGATGACCAGCATGAGCAGGGTGAGTGAGGACACGCCACAGCCCACGATGAGCGTCACGGACGGCAGGGTGGCCTTTTCCATGTTCTGTGAAAACCGGGGAGAGACCTCGGGGAGTGATGTGCCCGCATGCCCACTCTGCAGACCTGAAGACTGAGGCCCAAGAGGCCTCAGCCCCAGGTCACACCCTCAGCGTCCAGCCCAGCCCCTCCTCCACCTCCTGGCCCGCCCCCTGCAGAGGCCCCCAGCCCAGGCCCTCCAGAACTTCCTTTCGGGCCTGGGCCCTATGAGGATGAGCCCTTTGCCCGTGCCCCAGTCACACGCCAAGCCTGACGGCAGATGAGCCTTTGCCTCCATCTGCCACGGACCCCCACCAATTCCAGGCAGGCGCCACCCCCACACTGCAGATGGGGCCAGGAAGGTCCAGGCCCACTGGCTCGCACTGTCCTCTCTGGCCCAGGCTTTGAGACACCGGGGGTGGGAGGGTGCAGCAGCTTTGGCTCCAGCCCACCCCCATCCAAGATGCCATCCAGCCAGGCGGACACCCCACGCCCACCCGTCCTCCACAGCTCTGACACATCCCCGCCAGCCTCCCTGCACCAAAGCCCCCCTCCTTCTTGGCACTGCAGGTGCCTCTGTGTCACCTCCACAGCCTCTCAGTCCCCTGTAGCCTCCAGGCCCAGCCGCCAGCCTGGCACCAGTCACCCACCCCACCTCCAGCCCTGCCCCCTGCAAGCGCCTCTGCAGGTGTTGGGGGGGTGGGAGTGGTTTACCAATGCACAGGAGGGCACCTCTGCCTGCTCAGAGGCCAAGAGTGTGATAGCTGGGTATCATCTGGATGCGGGGCTGTCCTGAATAAACTGGGTGCTTCCTCCTCACCACCTGGGAGGTACTTAGTTGAGGTGACTGCCCCTCCCTAGGGAGGGCCCCCACTCCTCCCTGACTCTTCTACCCTGGGAGTTGTGCGAATGCCACACCTGGCTCTGCAAAGGCCACCGGGCTGGCCTTGCCTCTGGCCAGCCTCCCTCTCCTGACAAGACTGCCTCTAGCCCCCAAGGCCTCCTCGTTCCCCCTCAGGGTTCTTCCCTAGCGATGCCCCCAGAAGACCCTTCCCACTTCACATGGCTGCGTCTCGGACCACTGCACTCGGCTCATCCCCTCCTCAAAAGGACCTGGTCCAGAAACAGACCCCACTCTTCCTGACCCCGTGCCCCACAGAGCCCTGGCACACCAGGCCTGAGGACAGACCGGAAGTCAGGTGGCTGAAGGGGCGTGCACGGCTGCGGAGGGGACTGAGGCGCATCACTTCTCTATGGATGAGTTCACCCTGAGCCACGGCACAGCCCATCACCCAAGTCGTGAGCCAGGCTGAACTGCTGTCACGGGGCTCACGGGCACACAGTAGGTGGGCGTATGCGTGTGGGGGCATGGACAAAGACCCCTGCACATACAGCTTCAAGATGGCTGGAGGCATTCAGGAGAATGAGTCTGCAGGCCCTCTTCAGGCCCTCGAAAGGAGGCAGAGGTGATCGGGAGTCAGGAAGGCGAGGCCTGGGGAGCAGGGGGTGCTCAGGGCACCCCCACCCTGAAGCTGACGCCTTCCTAGACCCCGCCCCAAGTCTGCTGACTCTGGCATGCTGCTGTGTCACCTAAAGCCCCGGTCAGTCCTTCTTGCCCCTGTCACCGGGTACTCGGCATCCCCTGAGCCTGCCCGGTTGCCTGCAGCCCCACCCAACCCAGCCTGGGCCCCCCTTCCCCTCAGCCATGCCTGACGGTGGTGCTCTGTGCCCTCCACCAGCAATATACTGCTCCTGTGCCTGGACTGCTCTTCCCTTCACCACCTCCTCCAGGCAGCCTCCCCTGCTTCCCAGGTCCTGCTGGTGTCCCCCTGATCCAGTTCAGAGCCCCTGCTGTGGGTGGCTGCTAGGCCCACAGCTGAGTATCCTCCATGTCTCTGTGCCCCAGAGGGCCCCGCCCAGCAGGGATGCTCAGTCAATGTCATGAGCCAGTTGAATGAAGGTGGAGAGGCAGAATCCAGAAAATCGAAGGAGCTGGTTCAAGGTCACAAGACGGCACAGCAGAGGGTCCCGCTCCAACACAGAGGTTTGACTCCCGGCTCAGCCTTGCTGGCCTCTGCCCTGGCTGGGTAACCTCAGGGCCCCCACCTGTCGCGGTCCTGTTCAGTGTGGGCTGCCTCGCTGCCACCTCCCGGGGCCACCCCCATCCTCCTACCCTCCTGGGCCTGCCCGGCTCACAGCAGTCTGAACTTTGGCCTCCATGAAGCCGGCAGCCGCACCTGAATCAGCGTGTGCCGGTGGAGCCCTGGGGAGTGCCATCTGAAGCTCCGGCTTGGTGAGGGCCTTGGCCATCGAGGATCCCCCACCCCCCACACCCCCTTGCTCCTCTCTCCTCAGCTTCTCCCAACTCCACTCCAGGCTCAAATGAGGCCTGAAGGCACACACTTGAAGTTAGAGGTGATGCAGGCCACAACCTTGATGTGCACAGACACACACACCTGGGGCCCACACAGGCAGGCACCCAGGGCCACACAGACAGACTCAAGGCCCACACAGACACACACACCCGCGGCCCACACAGACACACGCACCCGGGGCCCACACACGCAGGCACCCGGGGCCACACAGACACACTCGGGGCACACACAGACACACACACCCAGGGCCACACACTCACACCCAGGGCCCACACAGACACACACACCTGCGGCCCACACAGACACACGCACCCGGGGCCCACACACGCAGGCACCCGGGGCCACACAGACACACTCGGGGCCCACACAGACACACACACCCAGGGCCACACACACACACCCAGGGCCCACACAGACACACACACCCAGGGCTCACACAGACACACACACCCACGGCCCACACAGACACACACACCCACGGCCCACACACGCAGGCACCCGGGGCCACACAGACACACTCGGGGCCCACACAGACACACACACCCAGGGCCACACACTCACACCCAGGGCCCACACAGACACACACACCCGCGGCCCACACAGACACACGCACCCGGGGCCCACACACGCAGGCACCCGGGGCCACACAGACACACTCGGGGCCCACACAGACACACACACCCAGGGCCACACACACACACCCGGGGCCCACACAGACACACCCACGGCCCACACAGACACACACACCCGGGGCCCACACATGCAGGCACCCGGGGCCACACAGACACACTTGGGGCCCACACAGACACACACACCCAGGGCCACACACACACACCCAGGGCCCACACACACACACCTGTGGCCCACACAGACACACGCACCCGGGGCCTACACACGCAGGCACCCAGGGCCACACACACACACCCGGGCCCTCCCCCTACACACATGCACACACCCAGGGCCCACACAGACACACACATGCACACACCCGGGGCCCACATGGACACATACACCCGGGGCCACACGGACATACACACCTGGGGCCCACATACACAGGCACCCGGGGCCAGACACACTCAGGGCCCACACAGACATACCCGGGGCCACACAGATACGCCTGGGCCCACACAGACACACACACCTGGGGCCACACAGACACACACACCTGGGGCCCACACACGCAGGCACCCGGGGCCAGACACACTCAGGGCCCACACAGACATACCCGGGGCCACACAGATATGCCCGGGGCCCACACAGACGCACACACCTGGGACCCACACAGACACACACACCCGGGGCCACACAGACACACACACCCGGGCCCCCCCAACACACACACACCCAGGGCCCACACAGACACACATACCCAGGGCCCACACACACAGGCACCTGGGGCCACACACACACACCCGGGCCCCCTCCCCACATGCACACCCAGGGCCACACAGATATGCCTGGGGCCCACACACACTCGCGGGGCCCACACAGACGCACACACCTGACTCCCACACGCAGGCACCTGGGGCCCACACAGACACACACACCTGGGTCCCACACAGATACACACACCTGGGTCCCACACAAACACACCTGGGTCCCACACACGCAGGCACCCAGGGCCACACAGACACACTCAGGGCCCACACACACAGGTACCCAGGGCCCACACAGACACACACATGCACACACCTGGGGCCCACACGGACGCACGCACCCAGGGCCACACAGACACACTTGGGGCCCACACACACAGGTACCCAGGGCCCACACAGACACACACATGCACACACCTGGGGCCCACACGGATGCACGCACCCAGGGCCACACAGACACACTCGGGGCCCACACGGACACACACACCCAGGGCCACACAGACACACTCGGGGCCCACACGGACACACACACCCAGGGACCCGGGGCCCACACGGATGCACACACCTGGGGCCCACACAGACACACAACCACGGCACAGATGCACAGATGCGGGTCCCACACAGACACACGACTGACACCCCCACACCTGGCACTCGCCTCCCAGGCCAGGCTGTCCTGCCTAAGCACGCCAGGTGCCGCAGCTCCAGCTGTGCCTCTCTGGAACGAGGCTCGCCTTCCCTTCGTGCACAGAAGCCCTGCCCGCCACCAGGCTTTCAAAAGCCGCTGCCTGCACATAGGCCCCCTCGAGCCACCCCAGGTGGCCCTACTCACCTCCGCTGCCCACACTACGCTCTGGGAGGGCAAGCTGGGAACAGCAATACTGAGCCCCACAGGAAAGCCTGCTCAGCACCTCTCCTGCCTACCACATCCTGGAGCTCAGGCCTCCCACTGGTGGCCCGCTGGGATTGAAGTCCTATCCCAGTGCACCTGCCAGCTCTCCCACCAGCCCTCCTGATCCCTCTCCTCCCCGCCTGGCTCGTCAGCCCCTGGTAACTTCACCAGTGCAGAGTGAAGGCCCAGGGCTAGGAAGCCAGCTGGATAGGGACAGGTGGGAGACAGGGTGACCCCAGTAAATGTTTCCAAGACACTGGGCTGGCCCAAAGCCGGCCTGCCACGAAGGTCACGGGTGGCTGAGTAAGTGGCTCACGCCTGCTCCGAGGCTGGCTCAGGCCCAGGCCTCTGTGGCCATCTGCTTCCGCCTGCCCTCCTTAGGCCTGGCAGCCGAGAGCCCGCCAGCTCTCCCACCGCCTGCCTGAACCCTCTCCTGCCCTCCTGGCTCATCAGCCACTCCCCACGGCCCTTGCTCAGCAGGTTCTGTCCCAGGCGACAGACAAGGGATGGGCAGTGGCCTGGGCGGGCGCAGGGGTTCCAGAACTGCAGGCTCCACTAGGAGGGCTAGGCTGAGACCAGCCTCAACTCACACTGAGCGGAGGCAGAGCCAGGCTGGCCCCTGCCGGAGACGGTTCCAGTCAGGCGCAGCCGCCCAGGGCCCTGCACACACCAGGCCTCTGCCCTGCACACTTTCCCTGACCTTCAGGCGCCTGGCTCTCCTCTCAGTGCAGAAGTCGCCTCCTCACAGAAGCCCTCCCTGCACCCTTGGCCTGAACCAGCCCTTGGCTCTCTGCCCCATCACCTTCACTTAACCCTCTCCAGGGTACCGACTGCTGCCCCCACCAGTGGCTTTTCCTGGTTGATGACAGAGTGACTGCCAATTTCCACCCCACGAACTCCTGACTCCCAATCTTCTCCTGAACACTGTATCCACCCTATGCCCCCTAAGGACTCATTTCTACCCACAGCACCTTCGTCCTGTCACCACCCAACACCATCTATGGCTCCCACATGCTAATTCCTGACTCTAACCATAGACTAAGCCGTGAGCCCATCATACACTGAATCCTGACCTGGATCATACCCAAGCTGCCCCAATGCCCATCACACCCTGGTCCCTGAATCCAGACACACACTAAACGCTGACCCAAGTATATTCTGACCCTGGATGTCAGTCATACTCTAAGCCCTGATGCTGGTCACATCCTGAGCCCTGAGCCCAGAGACACTCTGAGCCTTGATCCCAGTCAGGCTGTGAGTGTTGCTCTTGTGCACACACTGAGCCCTGACCATGATCACACCCTGAACCCTGACCCTGGCCACACACTGAGCCCTGATCATGATCACACCCTGAACCCTGACCCTGGCTACACACTGAGCCCTGACCCTGGCCACACACTGAGCCCTGATCCTGGTCACACAGTGAGCCCTGATCCTGGTCACACACTGAGCCCTGATCCTGATGGCAAATGAACTCTGACCCAGGTCACAACCTTCTGATAGTCTGAGGCACATCAGCAATACCACCAAGAACTGGCTTTTCAGACCGTTTACTACACACCAGGCTGTGTCAAGTGCCATAAATACATCACCTAAATAGTTCAGTCCCCACCACGCTGAGGCAGGTGGCATCATCCGCCTGACAGGTGTGACTCAGAGTGGTTACTCAACCTTCTGGCTGTCACAGGCCTGCAGTGGCAGAGCCGGCATCTGCACCAACACCCTGGCTCCAGGCCAGCTCTGGAGGGGGCTCCTGGCTCTCAACTCCCCTCGCTCCACCACCCTGCCCGGATCTCATCCCACCCTGTCTCCCGGGGTGTCCACAGACCAGCCTCTACCAGCACCTCAGGCCCTGTCCTGGTCAGCAGCCCCTGCAGCCACTCTGAACCCCCAATGACACAGCCTCTGCCCACTCAGACCAGAGTCCCCATGCCCAGCGTGTCCATCCAACCCCAGCCAGCCCGAGCTGGGCAGCACCCCTCTCTCTCCCTGTCCAGCCCAGCTCACTGGGGATGCCTCTCCACTGGCCCACTGGGCTCACGCTCCTCACTCTTGCTGGGACCCCTGGGCACCCAGGCCCCACTGCTCTCCCCTCACCTCCCAGCCTCCCACCAGTCCATTCTGGCCGCTGGGCTCTCTGCTTCTCCTGCTGCCTGTGCTTACTTCCCCACAGCTTCGAGTCTTCCTCACCCTGCGGTGGCTGCGACACACCCCACAATGCTTGGCTGGTGAACTCCTGCACACCCCTCAGGACCCTCCTCCAAACCTCGGCCCCGTGCACATCTCCCCACGCCACACTCAGGAGGGGAAGTGGCTGTGGCCACGCACCCAGAGCCCTCATTTCCCCAGGATGGCTGCAGACCTGTATGTGCACACACCTGCCTCCCACATCAGCCCCTGCAGCCCAGCCCAAGGCCCTCAGAGGGACTGGCACGGTGGACAAAGGAACACGCCAGTGGCAGACTACGCAACAGCAGTCTCCCTTCAGTCTCGGGCCCTCCCCCCAGCATCTAGGGCCAGCCTTTGCTGGGGAGGGAGAGGTACTGTGGAAAGCAGAGGAAGACCCCAAGGGGCTCTGGGGCCGGCGAGCGCCTGCTAGAGGCTGCGCCCACCCTGGCTTCTTCCTGGCACTCTGGCTGTCAGCTCACCGCCCTGCTAGTGCCCAGAGCCCAAACCGAGCCACAGGTGGTCTGACCTTGTGATGGAGCCAAACACCCTCCCATCTCACAGATGAGGACACTGAGGCCCCCGGGGTCCAGGCAGCCTGCCCTCAGTGCCGTGGCTCTGCAGACACTGGCAGCCCATGCCCCAGCCTCAATGCCCTGTCTGGGAGAGGGGGACAGGGCACCCACCATGCCTGCTGGCATCCTGCCCTGTCAACCCTAGTGTGGGTGGGCTGGGCTAACTCTAGAACCCACCCCCCAACAAAAAAGGTCCAGGACTGTGCATCTGGCTGCCTCCACCCCCGCCTGCCACGCTGCAGAGCAGCCGCTTACCCCCACTTGTGCACTGCGACACACAGGTAGGGGGCTCCTCCTGGAACAGCCCCTCGGCATCAAGCTCCCCGCCGCCCCCCTCTGAACAAGTTCCCTCAGCCAGGCCCACTCTGGAGTTCAGTCCATGACCAATTGGGATGCCACCCACCAGGACTGCCCCATTCTTGGGCTCTTTCCAAGTCATCGGTTTCTCTCCTCACAGCCTCCCCTGGGTAGTACAGGTCCCCTCCCTTTCACAGGTGGGGAAACTGAGGCTCAGAGGGGCTTAAGGCAGGGCCAGTCCAGGGTCACAGTGTGTCAGAGACAAGCCTGTGTTTCAACACCCCAACACTGAACTGCTTCAGGCCTGACACTGGGCTGGGAGGAGGGGCAGACAGAGCACACCCCACCCACCGGGTTCTCTCCTGCCCAGGTCCTCCTCAAGCACCTACAGGAAGAGCAGCACCCAGAGACCAGAGGCTGGGCCCTGTCCTGCCTGGTCCAGCCTTGAAGGGGCCCAGAAAGGCCATGCATCGAAAGCCTTCTGTGTAGAAGGCCACCTCTTCCCGGGAGCCACTGGGATGGCCCTGCCGACTGCTGCCTGCAGGGCTCTGTCTGCAGAACCAGCAACATCCAGAGCCTCACCTGAGGGGACAGCCCAAGCAGGGGTGCACTGGGATTGGGGGCCAGACACAGACCCCTGCCCAGCCCACTCACCCAAGACCTTGAGCAAGGCTTTCTCTCTCTGGGCCTCAGTTTCCCTGCCTGTCAACGGAGGATTTTACTGGCAATGGCCTGGAAGGTTCCATCTGGCTCTAGCACTGTGGGAGACCCCAGCTGACAATATCACCTGCTCCCCACTCTCCAGACAACACCGCCGGGAGGCCAGAGAGTCCTCTGAGAGGCCAGACTACCTCCCACATGGAATCCAGGGTCCCACGAGGGCGAGGAATGCCACCTCCAACACCCAGGAAGGCGAGGCCCCTCCAAGTGCCCCTTCCACCCTCACTGCCCCCCAGGCTTCCACTTGAGGTCGGGGCAGAGGTACAGGGTGAGCACACAGCCCAGGCCCTTTCCTGCTCGGTGGGCTGTGGTGGCCTGGTCCTGGGTCCCGGCAAGGGGCTGTGGCTCACCTCAGGCCCAGGTGTGCAGCATGGCCGGCCGGAAGCAAGAGGGCCCACCTGCCCCAGCGGGCTGTGCCCAGCACCCAGGTACCCTGCCAGCGGCTGGCCCTAGATGCCGTAGTCATAGAAACCAGCAGCCCCCACAAGAATCACAGAACAAAAAGGAGGCCCCGAGGTGCTGAGGCTTGTCGGGTGGGGGTGGATCTGGGCCAGGGTCCCTGCTTGGGGCCACTTCCACGGACCAGGCTCTACTTGGGGTGGGTTGAAGGGCTCTGCCAAGGCGGCAACTCCTCCTCTTCCCTCTCCCTGGCAGGCAGGAGGACCAGGGATAGGGGTAGCCCCTCCACTGGCGACGCTTCCCAGCCCCCAGCTCAGGACCCAGTCTCTCCTCAGGCCCAGGCTCCTTCCGAGCTCCCTGAGCTCCCGGGCCTCCAAGGCCAGGGGAGATGGGACCCACCCATCAGTCACTTTCCGGGGGTCCCGGTTCCTCCCAGGCCCGTCCCCAACTCCACGCTGCCACCCGCTCGGCGCCCACCCACCCTCTCCAGAGGCTCAGGGACCCCGCAGGCTGGGCCAGGCCAAGGCGGCTGTGGGGCGCAGCGACCCCTCCGGGACAGGACGGGTACGCCCCCCCCCCCCGCAGGCCCCTGGCAGCCCCGCCCGCGCCCCCACCCATGCCCCTCCCGCCGGCCCGGCCGGGGTCTCACCGCGTCGGCGCTGAGCTGGGCTAAGATGGCGAAGGTGGAGAGCCGGTCACAGAGGCAGCGCGTCCGGAGGGCGTCGAGGGGCACCGTGCGGCAGCCGCGCCACGACCAGGGCCCGAGCTGCGGGGGGGCGGAGGAGGAGGAGGGTCTGGGGGCGGGCGGGACACGGGAGGGAGACAGGCGGAGCGTCAGCGGCGGCGGGGACGCGGGCGCTCCGGCCCCCGAGCAGCGGCTCCGCGCCCCGGCCCCGGCCCCGCACCTGCACCCGCGGCCGCGCGCCCGCCCGTCCGCCAGCCGCCGCCAGGCCCCGCGGCCCGGGCGCCCATGCCGCGCTTTGCGCCCGCCGCCGCCGCCGCCGAGCGCCGCCCGAGGGAGAGCCGGGCGGGGGCGCAAAGCGAGCGGGGGCGGGGCAGGGGGCGAGAGCTGGCCCGCGGCCCGGCAGCGGCCCGCCCGCGCCCCCGCCGCCCCCAGCGCCTCCCGGGCCCGCGCCCCCGGCCCGCGCGGGGGGGAGGGCAGGCCCGCCGGGGCGCGTGGGCGCACGGGGAGTGGGGAGGGCGGGTGAAAGCCGGGTGTGGCCGGGGGGCGCGGGGCGGGCTCGGAGCGCGGCGAGGGGCCGCTCCGAAGCTGTCCGCCCCGCGGCCCAGGGCGCCGGCTGAGAACGGGTGACCTTGGGCCCGCTCCATCCCCCACCCCCACCTCCCCCGGGCCTCGTCACCCCTGCTGCCTGCGGCTCATCTCCTGGGACAGACAGAGCCTTCCCCGCGGGGAGGCCTGCCGCTGGAAACTTCCCTCTGCGGTCTGACCCAGCCGCCCGCTGTCTACGGGCCGCTGCTGCCCCGGTTTCCATCTAAGCACGCATTTAAGCACAGGACTTGTAACTCTGTGCACCAGGGACTGACCTGTTCTGCAAACCCCTCCTCCTCCTCTCCACCCCAACCTCCTCCTGTTCTTCCTCCTCCACCACCTCCTCCTCTTCCTCCTCCTCCTGCTGCTTTGGAGCCTAATTCCCCCACCTTTCAAGGCAGCCCTCCTGTCCGGAAGCCACCGTGTCCCTCCTTCACAGACCTGGCCCTGGAGCTAGGCCTGCCTTCCTGCCTGCTGGGGCTTGGCTGGCGGAAAGTGCCCAGGGGGTCCTCTCAGGGGCTGACTCCCCAGCCCCACCCAGGGTCCTGGGCCTGCCTGGTGGAGGAGGGGCTCCAGACCTCCTCAAGGGATGAGCCCCAAGAGCTGCCATGCAGCTCTGCAGCTGCGGAGCCCCAGCTGCTGGTCTCCCTTCTACTGTCAGCTGAAAAGCCCTCACCCCTCCCTAAGTAGCTGGGACCCAGTCCCTATCCCCGGACTTTGGGAGAAAAGCCCAAGTGGAGGGTCTGCCTATGGTCTACCCTAGAGCCTTCATGCTGCTGTTTCACCCTATTCCCACCCGGGGATGAGGATGGCCAGGTGCCTTGCAGTCTTCAGCTCACCTCTTCCATCCCGCCCCCACTGTACCCACGGGAGCTGAGGCTGGGAGCCAGAAGGGACCTGCCCCCTTGCCCTCTGGGCTGGTGCTCTCTCCAGCCTGCCATCCCCAGAGGAGTCTGGAGATCCGCCCACACGCAGCCCTCACCCTGCTCAAAAAGCCTGGGCGAGCAGCCTCTGATCAGACATCTGGCTTTGAACTGTGCCTCAGCTGTGCCCTAGCTCTGTGACCTTGGAGAGCCACCTACACCACCTCTTGCTTCAGTCTCTTCATCTTTAAAATGGGGTGGGCGAACTCAGAGCATGCACGGGCGGGTCACCAGCGCCGAGCAATCTCTACCGAATTGGGGATGTTGCCCAGTCTCCTTCAGCAGCAGCACATCCTGAAATTCGGGCCCAGGGGAGAAGGGACATTCTGTGAGCTGCCGAGGCCGCCCTGACCATGCCCTTGGCGTCTGCTATTATCTCTCGGGTCTTCTCTACCTCCTAGGGGAGGACCTGCTTCTGTTTTACAGAGGAGGAAACTTCGGTAGAGATCACAGACAAGGCAAAGCTGGGAGGAGACCGGGGAGCCGGCCTCAGGCTCTGCAGGGCTGGCTCTGGGCTGTGTCGCCCTGGGAAGTCCCCTCCCCTTGCAAGTACAGTGTGATTCCAGGTTCTTATTTCAGGGAGCCAGGGTTTAGAAGCCCAAGGCTCACCTATCTCTGGGACCGTCAGAAAAAAGAGGCTGCAGAGGCATGTGGGAACCCTGGAAGGGACCTGCACCATCAGGCTCCTTGGCTCCAGAGGATGCCTCTGCCTAAGCCTGCTGCCCCTGTCCATGTGAACCTCACAGGCTCCAAAGGGCAGCCACCCACCAGGTGGCAGGGACCCAGGCTGCCCTGCGATGGCCCAGAAGTCACAGACCTTGGGTAGGGACCCCTTCAGCCTCTCCCTTAGCCAAGTGTAGATCCTGGTAACCACAGATAGAATCCAGGGCTCAGGCAGGCTCTGGGGCTATGGAGGGAACAGGAAAGGGGGTGTGGGGTCCCTTGAAAGTCCTGGGGCTCTAAGTGACACCCTAGATCCTATATGTTGGCCAGAGGGTTTTCCACAGCCTTACTCAGGTGCACCAGGCACACCCCACTCTCCACCTGCCTCCATGCCCCACACTTTCCAGGGCACAAGCCACTGTCCCCACGCTGCAGAGGAACAGGTGGGACAGAAGCCTGAGACCCACCCCGGGCACAGAGCCACTAAGCCCTAGCTGGTGGCCGTGCAGCAAGGGAGGCTCAGGTAACTCCCAGGAAACCTGCACTAACTGAGCTTATTTCCCGGCTTAGGATAGGTCTCAGGTTATCCCTGACAGTCCCTTGCAGACCTGCAGTTGAAGTAAAGGTTCAGATGTAGGCCCAGGGTGGGAGAGGAGCAAGCAGCCAGACACATAAAAACTGCAGTTCAGGCTACTGCTCTCTGGCTGTGAGGCTCTGGACAATCGCTGCCTCTCTGAGCCTCCATCTCCCACCGAGAGGGCCCGTCCGCATGCCCAGGGGTGGGTGTGCAGCTGTGGTCTACGCCTGCCAGCCTCTGACCAGACACCAGGATGACCAACACAGTACAGGCCAGAGGGCACCCCGAAGAGTCCTGCAGATGGCTTCTCTCTGTGCAGCTGGCCCTGGGTTCCAGTCCCAGCTCTGCTTCTCATGGGCCAGGCACAGCACTACCTCAGCCCTCTGTTCTGAGCAGAGGGGCCCGGAACCCAGCTGCCCACCTGCCTGAGGGTTGCTGGGAGAATTTGGAGGGTTCAGGGAGCTGGGCTGGCTAGGGCCAGCAGCCTGGCAGGTTCCCAGCTGCACTGGCCAGTCTGTAGGACGCCAGGCCTACAGCTGCCGGCCACTGCCTGGGAGAAGGCTGGGCTGGAAGCCAGCGCCCGGGCCCCAGGGCTCCCGCTGTGGGTGCTGATTTGCTTATCAGCCTCAGGGGCAGGAAGAGAGAGGGGCTGCTGCCCACTCTGCTGAGGGTCAGGCCAGGGCCCACCCCTACTGCCTTAGGCCACGGAGATCCCAAGGAGTCACCTGCCGGTGGTCCAGAGACCCGACTGGTCAGGCTGGCAGCTCTGGAAGCAGGCAGCTCCCGGCCATTCTGTAAGGGCCTGGATCCTGGGGTGGGGCTCACTGGGACCTGCAGGCTTACAATGCAGATGCCCGGGCCTCAGCCTCTCTACCTCCTCCAACATCCTCCTGTCTCCCCCGGCCTTGGCAACGTGTGTCGGGGAGCAGCCTCCCAACATGCAGCCCAGGGACAGGGACCCTCTCCTCTCCCTTCCCTGCACTTCCACGTTAATGGCTTCTATGCTGTGCCAAGAGCTTTCTGCCAGTTTCTCATTTGATTTCTGCAGGAACCCTTAGGTCAGCTTTGTAGATAAAGAAACCAAGGCTCAGAGAGGCAGCGATTGTCCAGAGCCTCACAGCAAGACAGCAGCAGGCCTAGAACCTGGTTTGATCTGCCTGGCTGCATGCCCCGCCCACCCATGGCCTACCTTGACAGAACTGCAGGTCTGCAAGGGACAGCCTGAGACCCATCGCAAGCTGGGAAGTAAACTCAGTCATGCAGGTTTCCTGGGAGTGACCCGAGCCTCTGGCTGCACTAGACCTCAGCTGAGGACTGGCTTTTAGCACGACAGATGGGGTGGGCCCTGAGACCCTCATGGACAGCTTAGATGCATGTCGGCTTGGGAAAGGTAGCAAAGCCTCTTGTACCAGATCCTGACTTACAACATCCGGAAGTTCCCTAAGATGTCTGACTGAAATCCTTCCTGCTACGGGGGCACTGTTCCCGTCTCTGCAGACAGGCAAGTCTTCCCCTTCCCTGGCACACAGCAACCTCCCTGCACATGGGAGACCTTCTGCCACCTCTCATCTAAGCTATAGAAACCTGGAATATCTGAGTCACAGAGCAAGGTCCCCTCCTGTGCCCAGGCCTGAGGAATCTGGGTCAGTCACACCTGCTCCCCACCCCCATGGGTCCAGGGTGAGAGCAGGAGTTGGGGCAGTGACACCAGTCAGGACCAGCCAAGCAGGGGCCTGGCTAGAGAAGTTCCCCTTCCTGCCCAAGGAGTGGGGACCTAGAGGGACCTGGGACCCTCAGATGGGAATCCCAGGGTAGGTCTGTGCCTCCCCGCTAGACAGGGCCCCACGACAAGTCTAGCCGCTATAGCACTGGACTAAGTGACCACTGGACTAAGCACTGGACGAGTGATCACCACCATCGGGACTCTTCCCACTCGGTTCCTCCCCAGGTCACCAAGGACCTCCACATCCAGAAACCCAAGGGACAAATTCCTGTTCTGTTCGCTCCACCTCGGGGTGGCCAGGTGCTCAGTCAGCACCCGGTTTGCACATGTGGCCCCAGGGGCACATTCGGTACATGACAGCCCTGCAGGTGTCCACGGCTGCACACCAGGGCAGGGCGCACAACCAGGACACTTGTGCATCAATGAATGGGGAGGGCACGGTCAGCCCGCCATTGCTCACCTGGAGCCTTGGGTCCCCACCTCCTCCCCACCTCCTCCGTTAGCTGCCCACCAACAAGTCACATCAGCCTTTATCTGAAAATGCTTGGAGAACCCCACAGTGCCCACCCTCCATGGCCACCACTCATGCCCCCGGCTACTGCGGCCACTCAGGGCATCAGTCACTTGAAATATGTCAG